ATGTCATTATGATGTTCGGGTTTGTTTTAGGGTTTTAGAAGAAAGCATATTCCTCTCTTAAAGGTTTCGCCAAGAGTTGTACAGACACCATCTCCACTACATGTGTTCAACAGGTGATCATTAGCCTTTCAGCTGTACTTCTTCTCAAAGGCACGTTCCGTAGTGATCGTGTGGGAGGAGACACTTGTATCATTGCGCTGTTTTCATTAAGAAGCCCATCCTTTGATGATGTCAGTGAGAAAGTACGCACCAATGGGGAAAGCGCAGTGGGTTACTGACTCCGCCCATACGATCACCATGGGCTGTGCCTTCGAACTCTTCTGATCACCACTTTTCCAGGCCGCTCTCGTTGACACCACCCTTGCCCTGTGACACATTTGGAGGATGTCTGTTCGATCGAAGCATGTGCTCGTTCACTCATCCACCTGAAGTTCCTATTCCCAACTATTTCATGCGTGTACGAGGTCATCCGTATCCACATTTCGTTAAGCGATTTTCCTCATTACAATTTCGGTACAGTTCAACCACAGTAATACCAGAGTCTCTAATTCCCTTGCCGAAACTTCTTCGATAAGGGCTCTACTCAGTGTCTTGATTACGAACGTGATATTCCAATTGGCCTGAAAATGGATGTCATATTTGTGATTAGGATGTCGAAATAGCCCCTAAAGGCAAAGTTTCAGCAAAAAGATTTTTCGCGAGATTTTGACGGTATTATTGTTGAATAGTACTACATTTTCATTTTTTTCTTATCCATATTTATTTTTAAGGTAATAGCTTTTCAACAGAAATACTTAGCTGGCGGTGGTACATAGTGGATATAGTAAGGCATCCAGGTCCCACTTTGCGTAATTTCCCTGTCCCTGGGGAATATTTCCGCAAAATACCTTCCTTTTCCAGTACGACTCCTAGCACCTTCCTATGCTTTCCCAACTTCCTACCACTTTTCGGTTTTTTTTTTGAGGGGGGGCGGGGGGGGAGATTCCTCCGAAAACTGCTTCGCGCAGTTAGGAAGGAAGTCAGGTTATCCAAAAAGTTTTTTTCTGCCAGGCCCGGACACGGTCCTTCTTGGAAATAACAAAAACAACTACCAACACCCTCCTCCTCTCACAGCGAGGGATCTTTCCAATCAGTGTGGTAAGCTGCGGTGGATCAAGAACAATCAGCTATCGAAGAAAAGTTCTCTAAGGCCGATTACAACACATTCTTCCTTCACCGGCCAAATACGAACCTCAGTTGAAGATTCTAGCGTACATCGTGCTGCTTGCAAGACGCGCCGAAGCGATCTTGGGTTCTCGCCAATATTTAGGTTGGATCAAAGTTATTGATGGGGTTTTTTTTTTAAAATATTCCAGAACTTTCGCTTCTTAATTCGATCTAACCCATGGTGGTAGTGGTAGAACATTGTAGAACCTTTTCGCTTAAATGAGTATATTATTAGGTGGGCGGTCCCTCCTTTCTAGGCCTATAATCAACGATGTCATTCCCCACGAGGCCATGATCGATACATCATCTTCTTCGAGTGGCGCCGCGGCACCGGAGCAACGGCAACCGTTCGCAATCAACACCATATGGGGGAGGACACCAATTCCATCGCTACAGTCCATCGCTGGTCCTCGCTCACTATCAAGCGGAGGAGACCGGCAACTTCAACACGAGCCTCGTCGATGATGCCGCCTCCGACGACTCCGTCATTCTCGACGCGTCAAAGAGATCCGGAAGTTAACCAGGCAGTCTTGCGACGAGATTGGGTGTGCCCAATCAACAGTCGGTCGCCTTCAGGCCCTCGGTCACAGAAAAGAAAAAGAAAAGGACTCGCATGGATTACTTTCATGTCTTGAGCCGATAGCATAGCGGTAGCAAGCCGGCGTCATCCATTTGTTCAGTCTCTGCCTCTCCGTCCCGCCATCCGGAAGAGAGTTTCCGGAGCGATCTCGTACTGGAAAAAGAAGAGCTGCCATCCTCTGCCGTTATCAGGTGCACCGCGCCGTCTCTGGCTCCCGCGAGAGAACAAGGCTGCCGACGCAACCCGCAAAATCCGACCTCCACCCAGGAAGTTCTCTTTGTTAGGGCGATTCAAAAGGAACCACTGTATTCACGAACTGCTGCGACAAGGAGATAACCGCACCGGCTCCCTATTGCGCCTGGTCAGCTCAAGAAACTGCGGTTCGAGAAAAACGCCGGCTACGTACCGACTTCGTAGCACCTCCTTCCATGACAACGCTAGGCCTCATATGTATAGGTAAAGAGACCCGTGCAAAATTGGAGGAGCTAGGCTGGAACACGGTTCCACATCCACTCAGGCTTTCTAGCAGAAAAAAAAACGATTCGTCAACTATGACCACCTTGAACAAGTGGTTCTTTGGCTCCCAATCTCCCCAGTCCTTTGTATGGGCTGCGAAAACTTTGCTGATATGTGACTCGGACCGAAGTGTCTTCTTTCGCCCCCCTCCCCCACCTGTATATATGAGCAGTGCTACGTAAAAACAAGCTGACAGAAAGTGCGCTAAACTGCGCTGTCTCCTTTGCGAGGCAGCGCCTAGATATTATCATATCATATTTGGCCTGAATTCAATCGATTTCAGTGGGTTACTCGCACTTCGTCCGAGCACGTGTGGCCCCAAGGACTACATCAGTGCTGGAAACGCGTACGAACATGCTGGAACCACATTCGGTCCTTGATTACTACTTTGTTGTGCTTTCGACTTTTCGTCTTTTTGATCCCTTTCCTATTACTCTTAGATACAATTTCAGGTGTTCTTCGACGCTTTGGAATGGCAATCCGGCACTCGGTTAATCGGATGTTGTAGTGATCGCACTGGGGCACAACAGTGTCCTTTCGCAACTCCAGCTGAAGCAGGAGTACTGCTATGGCAGAGTGCCAGTTTTGACTGTCCTGCATATACTGTGAAGGTTAGTAACCTCTACGCTGTGGAAGGCGACTCCCAAAGAAGCATCACATTGTTCGTTACCGCGCGACTGTATAGTGACTAATGAGCTGGCACACGATAAAGGCTCGTCGGTATGGGCTTATGCGTAGCAGGTGCAAGCGGACAGGTCTCATTATACAGCATCGGGCTGGGAGAAAAAGACGGAGCTCGTACGATTCCTCTCGAAAATTCCATTTTCTCAGAACTTTAAAAGCATTCCAGTACTTCACAACGAAACTCCCACCGAGCGAGGGAGAGAGGACGGGAATCAAGGTATTGGAGATGCACGCATGAAACGGGTTGAATCAATAATTGAAAATTTTCTCTCACGGCCAGATAAAACCTCCCTCTTCCCAGTTGACGATCCCCAGTGGCATTTCACAGCGATGCTTTCTCCTGACAGAACGCTTTTTCCATCTTCTGAAAGCTTATTGGATGGTTTGATCCGCACTTACGTCAATCAATGCTGATCATATAGGGGGGAGGGAAAGGGCCTGATGATCGACCAATAAAAAATCTGGCTCACACTCGAACAGAACCAATAAGGAAAGTGGTTCCATGGTATCCCCCTCCACACGTCATCAGCCTAAGATTCGTATTTTAGTTGTTAGATGAACTTTTCCAATCCTCACTTCTCAACGGAAGAAAGTGGTCAGAAAGTCGAAGTCAATCTCAATCAATCAAGGAGGGAAAGTAATATCACCTTATTTGACCTTTAATCTTATTACTAGCAAGTCCGCTATGGAGATAAATGCAGACCCCGTCTTGGCTAACCTGCTCCCCCACGCCCCCCCGACACCATGTGATGTACAGACTGAAAATCGCATTGGAATGCCACTACAGTTTTCAGCAGAAGTTGAAAGCATGGCGCGTCTCAATTAGAATTGCTTGACGATCTTTGAAAGCTCAATCCTTTATGAAATCCATGGGAATCTCTTTCTTTGAATGTAGTGCCGCAAGAGTTTTTTTTGCAAATTTATTGTTGCTTCTTATAGCTCCCTTTTATAGTTCATCACCCGAATTTGAATTCTTCTTTTACATTGTTATTATTATTATTATATTATATTATTATTATTATTATTATTATTATTATTATTATTATTATTATTATTATTATTATTATTATTATTATTATTATTATTATTATTATTATTATTATTATTATTATTATTATTATTATTATTATTATTATTATTATTATTATTATTATTATTTTATTATATTATTATTATTATTATTATTATTATTATTATTATTATTATATCTGATATTAATTATATTATTCGCTGAATGCACCCTACGGCACAAGAGCCAACGTGAAGCAAGGCAAATCCAAAAAAAGCTAATTGAACAAAATTGACGCTGTGTAAGTCCAGAACTCGATGTACGTAGTTTAGAAAGAATCTTTTTTAGCTGAGCTAAGTTCCCAGGCATACTGTGTTTTTTCGAAAACTTCACGAATTCGGATGAAGCCCGTAAAGCGAAAAACTTGGCTCTAATATTAGACTTAGCTCTAGAATAGGAGAGTTTAACTTTGTCACCACGAGTGTTGGACGGACAGAGGGTGAGAGTGTCACGCAAATTTACCACAGACTTCCCTGTAAGTATCTTGAACATGGTTATGAAGTCCTGTTTCCTCCTTCTACAGTATAAAGAATCAAGCGCAAGCATTTTATTTCTTACGATCGACATTTCTTACGACAGACACCTCTTGGTATAGAACTGTAAATAAAACCCAGAGCCCGAGTCAAAACCTTTCTTGTGAAACTATTTTGCACAGATTCCAGTCTGGAAACGGTCCTCTTCATATAGGGAAAGAATACAACAGAACCATACTCTAGTAGCGGACGAATATAAGTCTTGTACATTCTCGTCTTCAGATCAGCTTCATCTGCGAGAATTTTGGAGTTGAAGATGGTGAATGTGGCCTTGACAGTGTCCGATTACACCGGTTGTCAGACACTTTTCTCCTCGAACCTTGTCAAAAGAACATCCTCTCATCTATATAAAACGTATTCCTTGTATCCACAACACGGATATCTCATGAACTGTCACTTGTTATGTCAGCCTAGTTGCCAGTTGTTGAGCTATAATATCGAGCGGAACCTTTGACCCTTCTCAGAACTTCCCAATATTTTGTGTACATTGAGCCTTTTCCTAATATTTGTTGGATCCACGACTCAAGTGAAGAACACTTGTCGTGTATAAAGATATTGCTAAA